GGATAGGTTCGCGTCGCTGGCGGGAAATACGGTCACGATACGTCGTAACGTACCGACCTCGATGGACCTTTAAATTATTCGGTTGATCGCCGCACAGCAGGACTGCGTCCTTTCGATTCTCTCTAGAGCGAATTCAAATTTCCCGCCATTTAGTACGTGAACGATGGGCGCGCAGAATTCGAAAAGGTAAGTGGAAAAATGTGGTCGCGATTGGTTATAGAAGTAGGTTTTTATTCGAGTGAACTGGGCGGTGGGATTTGGTTAGTGGATGTTTATTGATGATAATTTTTTAGGGGAATTGCTTTCTATGAGGTATTTGAAGTTCGAGGGACAGGTTAGGTAGGTTATGTTACGTTTTCATTGGTAGTGTTGTTTTGATTCTTTTAATGAACGATTACTGAAGCTTCTTTTTATTTGCTTGAGGAAAACATGATTTGTTATTAGTTTCTTGATATGTCACCTATAAGAACGCGACTTAACCTGTACATCCTGTTTGTACTCGTTTTTCAATGAATGTTTATTGATACTTGTTGTCACTTATAATTGTCTCACCATTATCTCAATTTGCCTTATTAGAAAGAATAAGTAACAATCTTTACGTAACAGAAATGAAAACGTAACTTAACCTCTATATTATAACATGTTGACACTATAATTCTCTAATTACCACTTAGTTTCGTTTAACATCATATTCCCTAAAAGAATCCGAAATAATTCCGCCAAATTCAATTAAAAATATATCCTAATCAATATTAAACATCCCAAAATATCCAAGTGCATAGGTTACAATTTTTTTTTGTACAATTTTTCAATTACGACCTGACCTCACTTCTAGCTCAGGTCCCAAAAGAATTTCGAATGCTTGCAACGAGTTCAAATAAAAAGTCAGATCAACGATCCTTAAGCATCTTAAAGGATATAACTCAAGAATCTCCACGATATCTCGTGACAAAATTATCGACAACCTCCTACTATAGTAGCTATCAAGAAGTCCCGATTAGAGCCCTAACAGCACATGAATTTTCGAAGCTTCCACCAATAATGTCTCCCGGGGGACCGTTTCGGTCTGTCCAGCGCCAACGATGCATAAGCAATGATTCAATACTTCCACGTTCGCCTTCCCTCGCCCCACGTCACCTTCTATGACCCCGATGTATTTTTCACGCGGAGACGTAAAAAGCTAAGCTGACTGAACATTACCGCGTGAGAAGATTACGTTCTCGTCGAATCCTCTTTACCACGAACCGATACCGCACTATCTCTCCTGCTTTCCCGGGGAGCCTCTTTACGCCCTTAGCGCCGCTTTTTGATAGTTGTCGGCGCTCGCGCGCCGAGGAATCCCTAGGAAAAAGATTGTCACACGATATCACTACTTCCGCACGTGGACGAGACGATTGCCACTGCGATCAAAAGGCAACCGGCACATATCTGAAACTTTGTAGATTTATTTAACACGTTCACTGCCACGAGAATTTCTACCGCTTTGAATAGTAACACTTATTCTTTGATAACAAATGATATTGGAAATGATTACTAATGATTTAGTAAGATTTAGTTAGATTTACGGTAGTTGTATTACTCTATGATCTAGCTAATTATGTTACTAAATATTTAACAAATAGTCAACACAATTAGCGAGCATTTAATACGATTCGTGATAAGTTATTTTCAGTTTCTTCAGACATTCATTATAGTATTCAAATGAGACTATTTATTTTCAAGGTCATTTCAAATATTCAACGCTTCTAAGATATCCATAATTGCGAAACACAAGTCAATTAAGATTTTTTCTAAGGAAAAGTAACAATCACACGAATTTCACACTTTAAGATTTTTTCCAGACGAAGTAACAATCACACGAATTTCAAACTTCACAGGTTTATTCATCGATGTCCTTAGAACGCGTACAATTTTTTTCATGCAAAAGTAATCATTTTGACCGAGGTTATAAAAGAAAATGTCGCTCGATATCGCTTCCGCACGTGGATGGTTTATCGATCGCGACGACGACCAGGACCGATCAGCCATTCGGAACGCTTTTAACAATCGTTCCAATGGAATCGTAGCTGGCAATTCCGTGATAAATCGCTGGGTGCTCGGTCTTCGCCGTTTGACAGCGGTTCTCCGTCGTTGTCCGGTTCCGCGCAGCTTTTTAGGGTCGACAGTCGTCGCGTATTATGCGAGCCAGCTGACAAGCGATCGTTATGGATTGAGATCGAACGTCTCGATCGGGGGATCCCATTTTGGACGAGGTCCAGTCCACCAGTTTTGAGCTTATGTTGCTCAATTAGATCCCGATGCAGGTCATTTTGAAAGAAAGAATTACGCTTGTTCTTTCAACCGAGGGGAACAAAGGTAAAATTTAATTCGCTCGCAGTTTAATTTGCGAACTGTGAAAATTGTTGCACAGGTTGAGTGGAAAATCGTGTCACGTTTTCATCGAACGACGCGGCCATTTTTTTTACTCGTAGCTTAATGTACGGGAAACAAAAAACGTGTACCGGCTGGGTAGAAGAGTGTCATATTTTTTGTTTTTTTCATTGAAAAAGGGTATTTCAGTTCGGAATTTGTATGCAAAGGAATGATTCACTTAAAACACTTATAAATAAATAGCTTCTAACGAAAGTTAAATGACCTGTTGTAAAACTTTTCATAAGGAATTAATGGATAACAAACAACGAAAGACAAGATTATTTTATATTATTGATTTTTATTTATCCTGAAAATCATGGGAGAGCATAGATCACATCTACCGCCATCTTCTTGTCACAGACTCCTTAAATCCAGCGCATTACATCTGCAAACCACAAAAATAAATCATTATTTTCAAATAAACTAATATAATTAAAACTATTTACAAAATCTTCTGAACATGACTTTCGAGTCAGAACACGATAAAGAATTGTTGAAAAAGCCCTCAGTCGAAGTAGAACGTAAAGGTCACTTATAAAAATGAAGTACTCGCAAGATATTATCGCATATTACTACAATACACAAAGTAAACATTGCTACATTACAAAAAAGATTCTCCGTTCATTAAACTGAACAAATATACTATCAACCTACCTTCATTGCTCCATTCATCATCTTAGCATAAGGCGCTGGCATAGGTTTCCTTACTGCCATGAAGTGCATCGGGTTCACAGATCCAACGGCAGATCTGAATGCACCAATGCCTTGTTGCCCGCAGTTGCATTGCGACACGAGACCCTGGCTTTGATGTTGGCAATGTGGAATCTTAACTACGGTTGGCTCAGGCACAACGACCATAGGCTTGGGTGGCAAAACCACCAGCTTCTCGTTGCAAACAGGTGGAACAGGGACATACTTAACAGTCTCCACGATCTCAGTCTGCGGCACGATGATCTTCTCAGGAACTGGCTTAGGCGTAGATGGCACAGTGACTACCTCAGGTTTAGGTGTAGTCACAGCAATAGTCTGAGACTTCGGTTCCACCTGTACAACAGCCTGTTGGGGGCAGGGCTGGGATGGCTGGATGATCTGCAGGGTCTGAACTGAAGGGACAACCTGTTGCTGGACAACTGACGAAGGTATCACCTGGGAAACGACCTGCTGAGGGATCATCTGAGGCACGAAGTACTGCTGAGGAGCAACGAAGGACTGTTGGGAGGCCAATTGAGTTCCTTGGACGACGTTCAATGCTTGGACAGGCTGGCCAGCTGACTGGATGCTGTAGGTCTGCACCTGAGGGGACTGTTGGATCACGTTCAAGCCCTGCACCTGCAGCTGAGACTTGTCCTGGGAAGATTGTTGGTCGTTCTCAGCGCCTGGACGAATCTCCACGCAGAATGAGGCAGCTTTCTTCAATCTGTCCTTGTCGTCACCGGTCTCTTCCAGCTGGATGCCCTCCATGGTCTTCGTTGGCTGGTCTGCTACCGATTTTTGCTCGACTTTACCTGCTGGGACGGCTTGCACCGCCGCCAGGCAGACCAGAAAGAGACAGAAACAGGTCTTCGGGTACATTGTTGGGAATTGAACTCTTCGGTGAGGACTGAAGATTCGGTGGACTGGAATCCGCTTTTAAAGGGGCCGAATTCGGCGAATGATGAAACTGCACACGCATGTTCCACGCACGACGCTGACCAAGCGGAATTTTCGCGTGATTGGGAGGGTATCTTTGAAGTGAGGGGAATTGTTGGAGATGATTGTGTTAGGATGAATGGAGGAAAGTGGGAATTATGTGGTTACACTTTCGAATTTCATGAAAACTTTGTTACTTCTTCGGAGGATAGTTCGTTGGTTCTTTGTGAGGATTATAGGTTCTGGTTCTTCGTGTTATTTTACTTTTTGAGTTATTGCGGTTAGTTTTAGATTCGTTTTATTTTGGGAGTGTCGATGGGAATTTAGTGGTAGAATTAATGAGAAACTTTTTATTGTATAGCGTTTTTAGTAATGGCAGAGTGGGGCTTTCTACTACTTTTTGGTTCTTATTTTCTACTTTCCCAGTTTGCAGATTAGTTTTAGTTGAACTTTGTTGTGATGGTATTAGATCTGGAAATTTAGAATAAGAATTGATTAGAAATCATTTTTGTAAATAGTATTTTCAATGTTTTAAATGTATAGTTCTTTGTCTAGTTGCTGGTTCTTAGTACTTTAGCTTCTGAACTATTAATAAAAAAACTCAATACTATCATTAGTACAAAACAATTGTTATAGATACTTTGCATCATTATTTAACTAAAATATCAAAATATCAAAATATCAAAATATCAAAATATCAAAATATCAAAATATCAAAATATCAAAATATCTGTACTATTTCATGTAGTATCATCTACGTATTTCCGAATATCAATTCCAATTCAATTTTGTTCTACAGACATTAATGTGCTATTCAAAATTTAATATTGTATAGACCCACGCAGAGTTTCGTGTATCTATTCAAACAATATTGTTACATTTAATAACACAGCATTGGTCAATAAAATTTAATCAGCAAATCGTTCAAATTTCCGAGTGACATTAACAAAACAGAATCTCGAAAATGATGTCGCCGATTTTCATATGTTTGGAGACGCCTTCATTACGGGCGCACCGGGAATTACCGCTAAACACAGTTTCGAAAGCAATCGTTCAACGTGGATTATACCAACAGCATTCGAGGCATTAAGTTATTTGCAGTTTCATCGTATTTCGACACGAGCATAATCGAGGACAGTTTTGTCCATTCGATGGCCGCGTTTTCGTTACCGTCAGCACTGTAAAAGCGTCACGTAACATTGTTTTCAAACAACGATACGCGGATGGACAATAACGAGCCGCGTCCACTTAATAATAACCGCAATGCTGGCATTTCAGTTTGTTTTCGCAAGTGTAAAATGTGGAATATTAACTTCAAAGTGGAGTGTGCTCCAATTTTAACGACCCTCGTCACCCACGCGGCGATTTCTTTTGCAACCACGCTCATCAAAGCTACTTTACCGTTAATATTACAATTCTCGTTGTAAATCTACTCTCCCTTTGAAGCTTAAATATTTAAAATAGTAACGAAGCATGGTTTTCTACTTTCTCGAATCAATGGGTAAAAGAATCTTTAAGATTTTTTTTAAATGAAAGTAAGAGGCGTGTAAATTTGAGACTTTGAAAAGGTATTTAACAATATTCCCAGAATGTACACAACTTTTTTGATGCCAAGATGATCATTGGTTTTGGAGTTATAAATATTGAAAGCAGGAATAAAGTATTTGTTTCTGTTTTCTCGAAGCAATAAGTAAAACAATCTTTGAGATTTTTTTAAACGAAGATTGTGTCTTTTAGAAAAGGAATTTGTCTTTAAAAAAAGGGAATTTGTTTTTTTAACAGGAATTTGTCTTTTAAACAAGAGGAAATGGTCTTAAAGAAAGGGGATTTGTCTTTAAAAAAAATCTCGGGCTCAAATGGGTTAAGCTGTTCCGCGATTCCATGCAGGATTCCTTTATCCGCGACGCTCGAATTCCTCTTCCTCCCACGCCCCAGAGCCGGCGAAACTAAGTCTCAATCTCTCGCCAGGTCTTCCTTTCACCGGAAAACACCACGGTGAACTTTTTCTTATCTCAGTGAGTTTGATTAGAGCTCCGCACCCGCGCACGCTCTTTCGGTGGAACAGCTGCACCGGAAGCACGTGCGGAACCATTTTCTATTAAGAATAGTACCTTATCGCGGTGAGCCGCTTCGTGGTGCACGATATTTCGAGCGTTTCATCTGATAACGATGCTCTTCTGTCGATTCTGATGAAACGGGATTAGAAAGAAAGGGTTGTAAATGGTACTAATTTGTTTTTTTTATTAAAACTCGTATAATCCTTAATTTATCTACAAATTTGAAATGTTATTAAGAGAGTAGAAGCACGCATTAGAATTAGAAACATCGAGAGCACGAATTAGAAATAAAGGGTTGTAAATGGTACTAATTTATTTTTTTTTAAACTCATACGATGCTTAATTTATCTGGAAATTTAAAATATCATTGAAAGAGCAACAGCACGAAATGTAACGATAAGTTCCTTAAATCATTTGATAACGATGATCTTCTGTCGATACTGATGAAACGGGATTAAAAAGAAACGGTTCTTAATGGTACCAATTTTTTGTTTCACACTTTTTTTGTCCATTAAAACTGCTGCGGTTCTTGATTTGTCTACAAATCTGAAATATCATTGAAGAAGTAGAAGCAATAGTCTAATAATAATTCTGTCATACTTTTCCACTATTTTCACATTTGAAAGTATCTTCGACAAAATGAATGTTGTAATGTTAACTGTGGAAGATTGTTCTCATTTTGTGTTTTCCGAGAATTCAATTTATTGCGAGAATTAAATTCAGTTTCGTTTATTGATTAATTCTTTCATTTTGCAATTATGGAACAATTGTATCGAATAATTGCAATTATATCGATATGTATACCTAACTTATAATGCTTCTTAAACTTCAAATGAAAATTTCTAATTGAAGTTACTGGATACCTCAACTTCACATTCTCAACCAAAGTTTCCACGTTAATTAATATTTCATAATAAAATTAATTGGTTCAATTTTCTCCAAGTAAAATACACACATAACATCAATCATTTAATAATCATTTTTATCCAAACTCGTATAATTATTACAGTCTTTGCGAAATACAGTAAAAACACACCGTAGTAACTAGCGTCACATTCCAAAGAAGAACTAGAATTAATTAACCGCGAAAATCTCTTTACTCCTACTAACTTATAGATCCCAGAATAATAATCTCAAGTATATTATCAATCTTTATTTCATCCACTTTTGATCGAAAAAAAATTCTCTTACCAACTGAACAAAAAAGAATCATACTTTCATCAACAAAATTTAATAATTATCAATTTCACAATTCAATTGCTTCACATTACGCGTTGAAAGAGTACAAAAAATTAATTCCCTAGGTTTCTCCTCGTCAGCCCATAGTCTCTATATTCGTTAGATCGAGAACCGGAAGCTCGGTGGTCGTCTGGAACGGAACTAACTCGGCACCGCTCCAATCCAGTTGATCGTCCGCAGTAATTTTTCTATCTGCCGCGCCCCTCTTCTCCTTGACCTCCTCCTGCAGCTGTTTCTCGCGAGGATCTACACCCTTATTACCCTGATCGCCGCCATTTATCTTCTGAATAACCTGACTCTCCCGCTGACCACCCTGTTTCTCGACTTCCCGCGAATTCTTCTCCTCCGTTCGATCCTCCAACGAGCTATGGTTCCTAAGCATAGCTCCCATCTGATGTATCAGCTTCATAACGTTGAAATTCGACGCTAGATCACGAAAATCGTACCTAACCTCTGGTACCTGAATCAGACTAGGGTCCCTAGACCGATCCTCTTCACGCTGCGTAAATCTATCTGTAGTCCTAGGATCCCTGGACTGATCTTCTTGAACAAATCTTTGATCCATTCTGAAACCACTGGTTTGATCTTGGGGATTAATGAATTCAGGAATGACACTAGGATTCCTAGACGGATCTCCAGGTTGATTAAATCCAGCAGTCATCCTGGAGTCCCTTAACTGATCTTGGGGCTGATCAAATCTTTGATCCATTCTGAAACCATTGGTTTGTTCTTGGTTTAATCTGCCAGTCATCCTGGAGTCCCTCAACTGATCTTGAGGTTGAACAAATCTTTGATCCATTCTGAAACCTCTGGTTTGGTCTTCTTGATTAAATCTGTCAGTCATCCTGGAGTCCCGCAACTGATCATCTTGGGGCTGAGCGAATATCTCAGCTTTTCTGATATCACCGGACTGATTCTCTTGGGGATTCATAAATCCATACTCCATGCCAGGCTCCCTAGATTCATCTTCTCCTGGTTGAATAAATCCTCCATCCATCTTGAAGTCCCCGGACGAATCTTCTTGTGGTTGAATAAATCTTTGATCCGCTCCAAAATCACTTGGCTGATCTTGGGGATTAATGAATCCACGAATGTCACTAGGGTCCCTACTCTGATCTCTCGTTTGAGCAAACCTATCCGTCATCCTGGAGTTCCTAGGTTCATCTTTCTGAGCAAACCTTAGACCCTGAAGCATTCCGAAGTCCCTAGACTGACCTTCATAATTAGATCCACTTGCCAGCCTGGAATCCCTGGACTGGTCCTGTTCAGGCTGACCTAATCTATCAGCTCCATTCACCTGGACACCAACTTGCCTTCTGACACCTGGTCTTCTATCAGCCATCTTTCTTGCAGGGTAGTCCAAAGGATAAAGAGGAGCATCCTCGTTAGATCCATCGTCATACTTGTCAGCCCTGTAGACCACAGACAACTTTGTCTTGGGGTCTTCGAAGAGAGGTGGTCCCAGCTCGAGCGAATCGTATCGCAGGTGCTCGTTGTTGGCAGGTGGTATGGATTGACGTTTGATCAGATCGTAGAAGCCAGCTTTGTTGAACGGCCTGGCCAAGTTGGCGAGGCCACGTGATTGATAGGGAGCGACAGGTGCGTTTAGACCGTGAACAACGGCGGCTGGTGCAGGAGCCAGGTCAGTATCGAGGTCCCTGGACTTGAAAGCGAAGGGATTCTCGCGTCTGCAGGTGCCCCCGGCTGACCTGTTGATTGCTGGGGCGCCTCCGCTTCCAGGGGCTCGGCCGTATGGATTTGAGGGATTGAGTGAATAGGGGTTGGAAAGGAGGGACGGCTGGCTCGGTTCAAAGGGTCGTTCGCCGCTGGGCCACCGAGCAGTTTCTGCCTGGACGCCTCTCGCATACGGCGCCGCGTTCCTGGAACGGGATTCCGCTGGGTAAACAAACCTTTAAAGTCACTAGATTTTCACTAGAAGAATTTTCCTTATTTGATCAAACATTTTTCTAGCGTCCGCAAAATCTTTCTGTTTAGTTTGGGCATGTAGTCGGTAGATGTTTTTGAGGTCAGAATTCTTATTTCGATAGAAGGGTTTTATTAAAGTTACTAGAACTTCGCGAAAATATGGAAATTACTGTTCGAATTTTAACCCTGATCGGACCGCGATGTGATTTTGAATCACATTTGAACTTTTCACTTAAATTTTTTGATTATTTCATATTGCATTTCCAAAAGTTTTGTTGAGCTTTTAAAATTTAGGCCCTATAAACAAAAACAATAACATTTTAATCATTCATTTTATTCTCATAAGCGACTGAGAGTCACATCGTGGTATGATTCGTTGTAAGAACACGTGATATGATTAGGGTTAAGAGAGTTTAACCCTTTGCGGAGAAATGTCGACATTTCGGCGAGATCAAATTTCCAAATTTGGAAAAGTAAGTCGCAAACACATAATTTAATTACTCGAACAGCAAAAGATCAGTGTATAATTTCCCTTCTTTCTATTATTTAAGCAATCGATATGTAATTTAACTTCGTCTGCTGAAGATTTCGTATATTTCAAAGAATCTTCGCGAAGGGTTAAGTGTTTCGAATTCTTTTCCTCCAGCGATTTGTGAATGAGTCTTATATGATTCGTGTGTTATTAATTCGATAGATATTTCGAGAAAAATTCTGGAAATTTTAGAAAATTCTTTTAAAAATGCGTCTCAAAATTACGAAAGTTGAAATGTTTTTAATTGTTCCGCATGGAACTGTAAATATAATTTTATGTAACAACGTATAGAACCTCAATTCGAAAAAATCGTTGTATTTCGATGTATTACGAAAAATTCTGGTAATTTTTTATTTGACACTAGATTCTCGTCAATTTTGATTAATTTTCCATTAAGGTAATGGAAAAACCGTGTCGCCCGCGTTTGCTCGCGAATTTATAATAAAAATTTTGGTAACTGTTCATTTGACACTAGATTATCGTCGATTTTGATTAACTTTCCATTGAGATAGTGGAAAAGCCGTGTCGCTCGCGTTTCCTTACCAATTTGCCAAGGCAGCTGGGCAATCTCTGCTGCACGAGGGACAGGAAGCATGCCTGTGGCTCCTGGCTAGATCACTAGAATAAATCCCCGGCGATCCAGCGACCAGGACCACGTTCACGAGCAGATAAAGCGGAAAGTGTCTCCAAACGATTCCTTCGAACATGCTACCGGCTTATTAAACGCTTCCCCGGCCGCGCGACTGTTTTATAAGCTAACCGAGCGACTCTTGTTTAATATTTTCAATAAAAACGTCCTCGAGTTTTCTTCCTCCGTTCCTCGTTGCATCAGAGCCATGAGTTTTATTCAATGTGTCAGGGTGATTCGATGGTTCTTTGTTTGTCATTATTGAACGATATTTTTCCGGCAATCGCCTTGAACCACTTTCGGACGATTTACGAAAGGAAGCCGAGAAGATGACGGCGCGATGGGAACGGTTCTGTTTTCTTTCGTTAATTGGGAAAATATTTCCCCAGCGAATTTTGAAAGCTGCAAATTGCGAGAGATGCTCAAACGATTTTTATTTTACACTCGGTGATTTGTGGGAGTTCTTATTTTAGAGACTATTCTTTCGATTGTGGTTATTATTAGTAAATAATATAGATGTTTGCTAAAAATGTCGAAAGATGAATTATTTGAATGAATGATTGTTGTAGTTTTAATGAAGTGGTTTTCCTTTTTATCTGTAGTTTTTAGTGAATCTTTAAATTGGATAAAAGCATTCGTTTAATATTTATAAACGGCTGATTTTGACTAAAAGGAAAATTATCATTTTGTTACGTGATTATCTTATTAATTCAGTGAACGTTAATTATTAACTCGTTCGATAAATTGCAATTAAATGAACTCCAGTAACATGGAATCTTTTATCTTCGATATGAAATATCATTTGGTTGATGTTTACAGTACAGAAATAACGCTGCAGGCAGTGTAAACAATATAGGGAGGGACATAATACCGCAGTTGTATTAAACAATGCTTCACATTCAACAAGTATATTTACGGACAAACAAGATGGCGTGAAGCTAATCCATAAACTCCATGTTTGCCGGCTTTCCGGCCAATATTAACTTTCCAAGCATCCTCGAATTCTGACAAACAACCAATTAAAGGACGCATTCGATTATATACTCCAAATTGCAATAGTGATTACCCTGATTTCCCTGGATAATAATAAATATATCGTGAATCGTTATGCAAAACCAACATTTCCAAATCAATTTCAAGGAAAAGAACAAAAGTTAAATAACAAAAATTATTTTCTGCTCTTAAGAATTTTAATAAATTGAAAGTAGAATAACAATACCTTAAAATTCTTCTAATTGCAGAAATTTGCTAATTCAAAAATGCACAGAATATCTGCAATAAGAAAACATAAAATAGTTAAATTGTTAATTAAAATTTCCTATTATTTATACAAGATTACAAAACTAAAAAAATTATTTATTTATATACGATCACACTGGTAAATCAAATCAAAATTAACAGAATCCTAAAGTAACGACGGGAAAGGAGCATTCCATCGAGATTAACGCATAAAATATCTGCAATAAGAAAACACATAAAATAGTCAAAGTGTTAATTAAAATTTCCTATTATTTACACAGGATTACAAAATTAAAAAATTGGTTTGTTTATATACGATCACACCGGCAAATCAAATAAAAATTAACAGAACCCTAAAGTAACGACGGGAAAGGAGCATTTCATCGATATTAACGCATAAATCTTTCATAACGTGACTCGCGTAATTGTTCCGCAACGGCAATGATTAGCGTAATTGTGCGAGGCGGGCACAAATTCAGTTCGAAACAAACAGGGACGTGGAATGGAAGTCCCTTGTATGTAAGTACTGCGCCGCGTTCTCCCAGTAACTTTTGTCAACGCGTTGAAAGCGTCGCGCTGCTCGCCCAAGATATTTCAAATAACGCCGCTGTTGTTTATTATTGTTATTTCAGGGCTGGCGACGCGACTGCAAAATCCCGATTCCCAGTCCGGGGACTCGTAACTTCGTTTGCGTCCCGAATGTGCCAACTTCGCGCGTTATCTACTGGGAATTCAAGGGAAATCGGACTTAAGATTTGAATATTCTGCAATTTGCGAATTTCATCTCATTCCGATCAGATGTTTTCGAAGTTCTCGAAGATTCCTGTGGAATTTTCTATGTAGGTCGATTGTTGACTTGTTCTATGGGTTCTAGAACATTTTTTTATAAATTTGGATCATCACTTTCTCAAGTTCTGCAAGATTTTTGTGCAATTTTCTTATTATACTTTAATTCCGAGTAGGGATTTAATCATTTCTTTCCGATCGGATATTTTCGAAGTTCTCGAAGATTTTTGTGTAATTTTCTATGTAGTTCGATTATTGACGTGTGCTATAGGTTCTAGATTATTTTTTCATAGATTTTAATCACTTGTTTCTTAATTTCTTCAAGATTTTTACATAAATTTACAAGTACTCTGTATATTTAAATCGGGTTAGCAGCTGTTTATATCAAACGAATTTTCAATTTGACGAAAGGAATACTACAATCTATGAGAAATATTCAAAACGCAAACTTTAGAACATTCGTTATTCATTTTACAAATCGATAACATCGATTTTTCTTTTAATCTCGTTTTTGTGTCTCTCTGAGTAGATCAAAATAAAATTTATCTGTATTAAAACATTTATTTCTCTTAACACAATTTATTAAATAATCATCCAGTTACAACAATTAAGTAAAGTGTATTTAAGAAAATACTTTGTTCGCCGCAATCTCCGTAATACGATTGTATATTTATTTTAAAAAATATTCCACCGCAAACGTAATGGTACAACATTATATTTGTAACATTCGACCGAATGAAAGTAAAATAAACATGAAAACTCTCGCGGGAATCGTAGACAACAAAAATCAGGGCGTATAAGTAATGATTTTCACATTGCATTATGAAATTGTGCTTCGCGAACGAAAAGTACGTTTCGTTCATTAATTACGAAAGGATTCCGCGTCCCGTCTAATGAAACCTTTAACGAATAAAAGAAATCGCAGACGTGAATTCATTTCAGTAAATTACTCAATTAAATTAATAGGGTCGCGTGAAGACTCGCGCAACCATAAATAATCGGAAACAATATTTTAAACCGGGTTAATTAAAAATAATATTTCATTCGAGCGGAGTTTCCGCGATACGCGTCACGGTCCTCATCCCCGCCATTTTTAAAACTGAACGGGGAATCCTTTGAATTTATAAATCCTCTATCGGATTTATTAACAAAAGAAAAAATCGATAAGCAGCAAAACAAAATACAAAACAGCGTAGCAACGTATGTATCTGGGTCAAAGAAATGTATATCAGACCAGTCGTGTTTATGCAAACTCGCAATCCGCGGGCACGATAATTAACCGAGAAATCATTTCTCTCGTGCGAAATGTGTAATAATCCTACTTTTGAACAAAACTTTTATCGCGCTTGATTATAATTCTTGTTTCGCAACATTTGAAAGTTAGCAAAGCGATCTGCGATCTTAATTGTACCGATAACCTTTCGTATATGCCTGTTGATGTTATAATTATAATTCTCGTAAATCCAATGTCACGGATTTAACCGGCGCGGAACCGGCGAAGATTAAACAACGCGAAGCATGGGCAAATATCTGACCGTCGAATCTCTGCGCGAGCAAAACAAAACAATTTTCCGTTTCGACAACGGCGCGTCACGCGATGTTGCATGCTGCTGTCGGCGTTTTTTAAAAATCTTACAGCTGTGCGAACTTCGAGGTAACTTCGATCTGAAGGGAAAAGAGGAAAGATTCAAGGAAAACTTGGAATTGATACTAAAACTACTAGATAGATTAAAACGACCTTTCCTGACTTCTGCATTTCGTAATGATTGAAAAGATAACAGACGTTTCTCTGAGAAATTATTACAGAAATTATTTTAGCAATACGCAAACTGAATTATAAGTCAATTAAAGTCTCGATAGATGTACTCTTGAAGTTTCTATAGAGGAATTTCGAAAAATCAATTGAACTGCTCGGTGGTTTTAGTGTTAAGCTGAAAAGAAGCATATTCGGAGACAATTTATCGTTCGTTGCGCTGGCCGCCATCTTGTTGGCTACGGCGCGCTGGCCACCAGGCCTGCCATCTGGCGTTGAAGTCTCCGCTGGACTCATGCCAAATGCTTGCGCATTGAAATGATTGCACCTAATAAATGAGAAAATTGAAGATGTTCATTGGTTAGTTACATTGTTGAATGTTTTTTAAAGCATGGAGCAAGGTTTTAAGTCTTATTTAACATTTAAAATCAGGAGATTAGTGTTAGGAGAAGTTTTTGACACGTATTTTCAATTTATGTCACGATACGAGATCGAGAGCAGCTGCGTAGTGATGCAACAGCTCGATAACTGCTTGGAAAATTAGATTATCGCTGAATAATGGATGCAGAAACGCTGTTTCATATTTTTATTCAATATTATCCTTCTGTAAAGTACTCGTGAACGGATTCGGCTCGAAGGACCAAATGTTAACGCACTCGTGAACGTTGATCCGGCTCGAAGGACCAAATGTAAAGCACTCTGACTGTCACGAGCAGTTTTGAGTATATGCTGAATTTTGCTCGAAGGACCACCCAATGTTGAGACTAAGAGTTCTAATGCCTGAATGACTGAATGATATACCTCCCTGAATGGAGGTTTCTTGAAGTGTTTCTAATTTGTCCCTGAATAAACGTGGTTACTAGATGAACGTGTTTCTGATTGAACGTGTTCCTGTTTCTAATTCTCAACTGATTCTGATTCTGGTTTGTTTCTAAACTGTGTTCTAACTGTACTGATGCTGTTTCTGGTCTGATTCTAAACTCTGACTGATGCTGTTTCTGGTCTGATTCTAAACTCTGACTGATGCTGTTTCTGGTCTGATTCTAAACTCTGACTGATGCTGTTTCTGGTTTGATTCTAAACTCTGTGAAGGGTTTTTATAATCCCCCTGGGCCCACTCCCTCCCTCTCGATGTACGAAGGTGGGTCTCAGGGACGGTTTTCTCATCCCTTCCTAAGTATGATGACCGCTCCTGTGTCATCCCCTTCCAGTACGCCCATAGCGCGGTATTTCCCTGGAGCGGGGGTGACGGAGTTGGTCGCTACGCTGAACGAATGTTTGGAAACGTCGAGGAAATTCCGGTAGGTCAAGATCCTTGAGGACAGTTTTTTCTGAAATTCTAACGGACCTTCTGGAACACGACTTTACGATACCTGGGCTGAAGTGAAAAAATAGACAATGGTTGATCTCTAAGCTGAACCCTTATATGCCGCATATTGGTTGCAGGCCGGCCTGCTAAAGTACCAAACGGAAAGCTAACGGTTATGAACGTCTCTATGAATACTTTCCCGTATCGTAAAATTGTCCCCTTGTTGTCCTAACACTTTCGTTTTCGTTGCTTTGTGGCACAAGTTTACACGGTACCGTTGCGAATAAATAAAATAAACGCGCACCAATTCCACGCCAGCTGCCATATTATTCCACGCGAGGCATAAATAATTCATCGTCGCCGACTAAGATTCGACCAAAAGCATCTCCGAGGCCGGCGAATCAATTTATGAAGCGGAAACTTCCGAGATCCTGAGACGGTCCGGAAGCTTTGTTATTCCGGGAAGTATCCGGGCACTCGTAAGAGAGGCGATCGTCGCATCGAGGAAGATCTTTATTAAGTAAAATGGCACCGGACGGCCTCGCGGGTGTTGTAACGGGAACGGTACTCTCTTTCGCGTGGAAACTCGATTTCCCCGTGCGGATTCCTGTTTTCCGAAAACTTTTCGCTCTCTACCACGGACGAAAAATATTCATGCCTCACGTGACCCGGTACCGAGGAATTGTAAGTTATTAGGAACAGGAGACGTTGTTAGGTGTATTCAGAAAGCAATGCAAGTAAAGGAAACTGTGTGATAATTGCTGGTATTATTATGTAGTAAAATATGAGAGAAAATGTATAAAATTGGTAAAATGTCCAGGGAAACGTACGGGGTTAGTGAGATATGTGATAAAATATATAGAATTAGTGAAATGTGTGAGAAAATGAATAAAATTGGTAAAATGTCTAGGGAAATATACAGGGTTAGTGAGATATGTAATAAAATGTATAAAACTGGTGAAATGTATAATAAAATGTATAGAATTGGTAAAATATGTGAGAAAATGTATAAAATTGGTAAAATGTCTAGGGAAATGTATAAGGTTAGTAAAATATGTGATGAAATATATAGAATGAATAAAATATGTGATAAAATATAATAAAATATGTAGAATTGATAAAAGATATGATAAGACATATAGAATTATGAATAAAATACTTAATAAAACACAACAGAAAGCTTCATTTTATAAACATTTCTAAATATTACTTCAAAGTACAATTCGCAGTTTCATTATCTCATAGAAATTTGTCAACGTTACTTCAAAATATAATTATCAGCTTTATTGCTTCGTATAAATTCTGTAATATTATTCTAAAATATACAATTCCCTTCCTCCAGGACAGTTATTGTGCGGTCCATTGTTATTCTGTTATTTAGTAGTCCATTTCTCAAGTCCACTTTTCAGGTTAATCTGGAAAAACTAATACGAGAAGGTTAATATTAAAAATTAATATGAACAGTAATGGATTTCTTTCCAGCCACCCTAATATTTTTGTAAACTACTGGTTTATACGTGACATCGATTAATTTACGAATTCTTTTATAAATCAAGTTTTATTTTCTATTGGATTACGTTGAAACGCAGGGGAAGTTTCGTGAATATTCTTTCAATGAAAATAGTAAGAGTATTGATTTTTAATCTAGTGGGTACACTCTAAACTCTACTAAACAGAGTGTACGTGAACTTTTTTTCAAAGGAAAATGAGGATTATGTTTGAAGTTATAGTAGCTTCAGCTAAGTGCCATAGAAGAATTTTTATGGCTGTTGAACGGCGAGTTTGGAAGGGGGTATTAAAAAAAATAGTACGGAATAAAAAGGTGGCAGGGTGTAGAATATGAAATTTGATTGTTGTTGGAGAAATGGAATTTTGTTTTTAATTCCTGTGAGTCGAGTTTTTTATTTAACCTGTAACAACGAATTTTTTAAGGGAATATTTTACGGTGAATTGAGTGTGTTAGGGTTGTTAATATTATTTTTCAAAAGATTCTGAATGCTTGTTTAAAGAATTAGCTATTTTTCAAGCGTCGTTTATCATCAAAGATGTTATAATTGCATTTGCCATAATTGCAAAATGTTTATTTCCAGACAAGACACCGACGATGACATAATATCAGAAAAATCATTGCAATCTGTCAAGCAGACGATTGATTTCCTCAAGGAACGTAAGTAATTATTATAAATCATTTGAACAAACGTAGATCTTCTTCTAAATGTTATAACAAGTTATACAATTACTTCTCATTATAAAATAATTGTGCAAAATAATTTGAATAACTCTGAAAAATTTCCATCCTTTCTTTATTTTCTTTCATTCTAATTCAAATAATATCATTATTCTACATTTCGAAATTTTCCGATTTCTCTTTATTCTATTGTCTTCTACTCTTAGCTACAAAATAATTGTACAAAACATTTGCAATTCCAAAACATTTCCACCTTCTACCTAACACTATTTTCTTTCCTTCTACTTTAAGCAGTTCCTTTATTTTACTTTCTAAAATCCTTTCATCCCTCTTCAGTTTATTTTCCTGTGCTCCTATTTACAAAACAATTCTACAAAACAATTGCAGTAATTCTAAAACCATCTGTCCTCCTATTATCATATATTATTATATATTTATTTATTCATTATTATTATACTATTATTATATATTATTATACTGTTATTATATATTATTATACAATCCACCTTCTTCCATTATATCTCTTATATCTCGCGCTTGATAAAATCTCGTAATCGACGCGATGAATCCAAAACGTTTCAACGTTTAAACGTCTTGATATGTTCCATTGAAGACGCGAGGGAGGAAGGTCTATTTCGTCGCGGCGGCCGCCGGGATCTCAGGACGCGGATCCTAAATTCGCTGAAGAAGGGGGAGAAACCTCATTTCGGCAACAACAACGCGGCCCTCGAGTGCGCCGCGGCGTTGCAGCTCTTCCTGGGCCATTTGAAGAAACCAGTGATGCCTCAGCACGTCCAAGAGCTCCTCTTAGGTAATCCTGGGCCCTCGACAACGTCGCCCTGAATTTCTTTCAATATACCCGCTATATAAACTCGTATTAGCATACACCCGAAAATCTCTGAAGACCTCTTGGGTCCTCATTTTATGTAAACTCCACCTGCTAGACGTTTAAACCAATGTCTGTCTTCCCTTGTCTCCCTCGGAATTCTTTAAATTCCAAAGGAAAATAAGAAAATGCCTTGAGGAAATTAAAATAAATGTTTGTTGCCGAGAAATTACATGTTACGGATGAAATTTGAAAATTCTTTATCTTTGGTTGGACGTTTAAACTAATGTATCCCGTCCCTTGTTTCCCTTGGAATTTTTTGAACTGAAAGGCGAAATAAGAAAATCCTTTGAGGAAATCAAAATAAATAATTGTTTTGGCAAATTGAATGTTAGGGATGAAATTGGAAAATAGTTTTCCTTTGGTAAACCATGAGAAAGAGGTGAAACTGAAAGTAAATTGGAAAGATGCTACAAACAGAAAGGGAAATTTGACGCAACACATCAAAATTATACGTTTTCACCACTTTCTAATAACAATTACCATTATCTTATCAATTACATTTATTCCTCCACAGTTTTTAAGATAACAGCAGTTTCTCTGCGAACTTATTACAGAAGCTAATTCATCAACGCGCAAACCGAATTGTGAATCAATGAAACTTACAATAGCCGCACTCTTCGAATTTCTCTAAAGAAACTTCAAAAAGTCAATTCAACTGCTCGGCAGTTTTAACATTGAACGTTCACACGTGTTCTCGAGTGGTACCGTGTCACGTGAAACTTGTTTTAACCAGTTAACTGTGTTTGACGAGTATACACGTCATCGTAAAGCTTGACACGATACTAATTCTTTCAGCGATGAATTCTTTACTTTTTCACATAAACATGTAATTCTTCTTTGTTTCGCTTTGAACTTTCATTAAAATATACTCTGCGTGCATACGTCCTGCGTTCGACGAGTACACGCTCAATTTTTTATTTTATAATATTATTTTATAATATTATTTCATAATATTTAGTTTTTCCAACTAAATGCCACAGTTAACTGGTTAATTGAAAACCACACTATTCCGACGTTATCCTTCGAGTATCGCGTCGCAATTATTGAAGTCAGCGTTCGCTCGGCTAACGTCGACGTCTCCGAGCTCGTGCAGTCGGAAAAATTGATAAACCGGAATTTTGCATCGTCCAGCTGACAATCCAGGCGTGACCGCCCACGTGATCGCGAGGGACGCCCTGGGATTAATACGGCAGGACGTCGGGGGCCGTCACGGGGAGCTGCTAGCCGAGCTTCTTGATTTACTGAGACACTTGACTCTTTCCGGGCCGCCATCCGAGAGATCTGAGCTGCGCGGCTCGCCGCTTCCGATAGCGCTGCTGCCAGTCTTTTTCACTTTAACGGTAAGCCGCGGGCTCTTATCCTTCGCCTATTAACCTCTCGCCTTATGACTTCGTTCTCTGCCGGGCATCGTGCAGGCCGCTTTATTGCCAATCCCTAAGGACGTCAAGGCTACCCTACGTCAACGCTGTAATCCTGCGTCGATATTATAGTGTAGTGGGCGACGGAAATAATCGAGGGATATTTTACTAAACGAATGTTTATTAACCCTTTGCACTCGGGAGGTGACTCTCAGTCACCACTTGATTTCCTACAGTGAAGGTATAAAGTTTGATATTTAATATTATACTCCATATAATGCATTAATCTGAGAAATATTCACGTTATATAAATAGCTTTGTCCGCCAATTCACGTGAATTTCTCGTCGAGTTGGTTTTACAAAATATCGTGTTCATCTCATCAGAAAATGTTGAAATATTTCTAGTGAAAAACGTCGGAGTGCAAAGGGTTAACACGTTCGCGAACGTGTCGCATATCTGCGAGAATGATTCGTTTAGAGCAGTGCTTCCCAACCTTTTTTGTGCCATGCTCCACTTAAGCCTTTCTAAAGTTCTTATGTCCCCTATGTGACATATATATAATTTTTAATGTTGTATTATAATATTTTTATAATATTTATTATAATATTTTTGCTATTTTGTTCATTACGTAAATATTGTGGAATATATGAAGTGATATTTCAATTTTTAAATTTCCCCATTTAGGGTGTATTTAGCTGTGATGTTAACTTGTGTTTAGCTGTGATGCTAATCTATGTTTAGCCTATATTTAGTTATGATGATGTTAACTTATGTTTAGCTGATATTTAGCTATGATGACGTTAACCTATGTTTAGCCTATATTTAGCTATGATAATATTAACACTAGAACTACCAGATGTGTCAGAATGACCCACTCCTGATTTCTTCTTATACAATTACTGAGAAGATACAGATGCTGCTCTGAGAAATCGTTAAAGAAGCTGATTTAGTAATACCGACACTGAAATATAAACCAATTAAAATCTTAATGAATACAGAGTTATAAGTTTTATAAAGAAATTTGGAAAAGTCAGTTTTGCTTGGTAATTCTAGTATTAATCTATATTTAGCTACGATAATATTATCCTATATTTTGCTGCAATGTTTAAATAATCATTAAATTAAATAATCCGCAACATTTCTTCTGACGGATGAGAAACATGACTTACGATTTGAATAATTTGTAAATACTTCCATTTTCTCCGTTACAAATAAGATTAACACGTTAAGCGCCATGTCAGTCACTGGTGACTGACGCTTCTGAATGACTAAAAAACAATCGTAACATACAAGACAACCGATGTGAAATAAAAATGTTTAATAAGGCAACTAAGTTAATAATAGTGTAAGGTAAACGTTGCAACGCCAAACAATTCATAATTATTCCTACTTTTCTTTGCTACAAAAGACAAACTCTGTGGGAAAACGCTTAAGATTTTCGTGGCGCTTAACGTGTTAAACGAAAAAGGAATCTATCAGTTACATATATCAGAATATAATAAGCCAAGTCACATAAAAATTTCCTATTTTTAAAACAATCTTTTTTCCATTTTCGTCCCAATTTGTCCGAGAATCTGACCACTGTGCGTAGATCGCGGCTCGACGCGCACACAGATTTCCATGCGATTGATCGATCGTTTCCCCATTGCAGCCGGCTGACCTGGTGAAATGGAAGCAAGTAGCGACCAGATTCAGCGAATTAATTACCGAAGCGCCTGACCAACTGCAGCTGAATGAAAATCGATCGCAGAGGATGGAATCAGCGGCCGAAAACTTAAGGAACCGGAACGGCGAGCTAGCGGTCTGAGAAAAAGGAGCAGCCCTGGTACCGGGGAAAATTTCAGCCGAAGCTGATTTAGAAACGAAAAGAAACGTAATTAAACTGTCCTTCGCCTGTCGCAGCTGCCTCTATCTACCATCTGTATCTCCAACGAAATTAAAAATATATCTTTATACCGCCTCGAATTGTAACGAAAATTGAATTAAAGTGGATTGAAAATGTTAAAGGACCCGTGTAATTTGTGCATGATAAAGTTCGTTGTGGTCGAATTAAAATCGATAAATCTGTTGAAGTTTATTTAATATCGTTAAATATATACAGATTTAGAGTAAATGAAAAATATTCCTCGACGCCTTGAATTATAGTAAAAATCCAACTTCCATTAAAAATATTAAAAACCATGTACAATGAATACATGATAAAGATCGTTATGACAGAAACAATTTTGTTGAAGTTATTATGATATCAAATGTATCATTGCAATGTACGCAATATTTATAATAAATTCTACTGTAGCAAATAGTAATTCATTGAATATTTTGCTCATAACATGTGCTATTAAATGTATTATTAAATATATATATATATATATAATTATATATATAATTATATAATTCGATTAAACAATTAGCTATAATTGGAAGAAGAAGCATTTATTTGAACAACTGCCACTTTCATCACGAAATATATTCGTTAACGGGATTATCCAAAGTCCCTCGCGTTTTTGCCATTTGTCATCGTTCCCTCGACCAAAATGCGTTTTCCCCGGTGCACGTTCTGTCTCCGGTTTATTTTTTTCGAATCGAATAGAATATTCTTTTGAAGGTTCCTTTCCACTTTTTTCTTCCTTTGTCCCCATATAATCTGCTTGCCATGGTCTCCCCATGAAAACGGACGTCGCTCGGCCATTTTTAAGCCCCGTTAGTGGGAAAATATAATTTGCTCGGTAGCCGGACAAAAAAATTTCAATCGGATTTGCCGCAAGGTATTTTTCATACGAAACAATCCTCAGAAGGCCACGTGAAATATTTATCGAGATTCTGGCCAAAAGTCATACTTTCGAGTCTAACGTAAACTTTTCGAATTGATTGTAATAATATAACCGTAATACCAGAATAACGTGAATGCTTTCTCCATTTTCAGTATTGGAAATATGAGAATGATTTTTCTTAAGTATAACGATAATAATATTCACTTGTGAGAATAAAAATATGTAATTAGGATATGATTGTAAGTAAACACTAATAAACTGGTAAATAAAGAGTAGAATGTGTTTTCATTCTTATAACTATTTCTCCTGTTGTATGTGATTTTATTAATTCTTCGATTAATTTTAGTAATTTTTACAATTTTTATTATGTGAGTATGTATATAATGTTAAATAATATTTAAGGGTTATTTTTCTAACTCAAGAGAACTCTCGATTTGTGACGATCAATCGAACAGAAATGACAATAACTCGAACTTTATTTAACAAAGATATTACCTCGTAACTTTGATTGAATTATAATTATTTTCCCGGAGAAAGAAAAGAACAGATCTTGAATTATTTTTTATTATAATTTATTCTAATTTTTTATAATGTTGATTACGGCTCATAATAAAACCAACATATATTATTCATTTAAAGGATGCAGATAATTATCAATATTTGGCTTATATTCAAAGCGAAACCAGAAACTTATGTTCAATTTCATTTAAAAAACCTCGTGGTACAAGATTAATAACTTAGGCATCGCATATCGTCGAAACAATTGTACAAGAAACACTATTGGATCATTCCATGAATAATACGGTTTCTTCGTACTTCGTTTACTTTGAAACATTCAGGTAAACGAAACTTATTTCAATCTAAACTGTTGTATATTGTCAATATGTCACTTGTCGGTGGCGAAACATACAGTGCATGCAATTGGAAAAATCCACATTACTTATGGAATGACTCGATATCATTACTAAAAATGACGTATCTTGATGGATCACAAATAAAATGCAACATTCGAGTTTTTATTTTATAATTACGAAACACATTTGTACACTTTTGGTAATAATTGTTTCAGGTTTCCAGCGAAATAAACCACGGTGTGGCGGAGATCGAACAATCGTTTACGGGCGAAACGAAGGTGCACCGTTCCGGAATATTTTAATTTTAATAACGAATTTATACAAATGCACGGGTTTATACGGGATATCTCGAATTCAGCTGTTTTCCAATTCCGATCGATGGGGACGGTATTAAAGGCTCGCGTCGTCCTAATCAGCCGCTATCAACTCGAAACGACCGAACCTTAAACATTTATATCGGTCCGGGAATACTGGCCGTTACATACACGGACTTCTGATAAATATGTAAACCGTCGTCGACGAAATCTTCTTACAATTCGTTCTAATTGTCTTCTTTAACGTCGTCGGTTTCAGCATCGACGAGCCATTCGACGTTTTCACTCGGGATTCGAAACGTTTCTCCGGGGTACAAATTTAAGGAAATTTTTAGAAGGAAACGGGAATTGCCTAGAACATAGTGAAAGATATTTCTTGAACAGCAGAATAACAAGAAACCGGAGTTTGTAGAATATTAATTGTAAGAAATAAGGACATATTAGGAAAAGATCCTTAAATGTAGGTGAGAATGAAGCAAACCCAGCGTCATCTACGCTAAAACGTTTAAACCGTCAGCGGAGCAAGGGTTTCTTCGATTAATCTATTCTCTGGATAACCCAGGAATGAGCAAGAATTCCTTCCGTTTTACCGGATAGAATCTTAAATTACAGTCCTTGATGATTAATTTAAACGGTCGAAAGTCGAAATTGCTCCGCGGGAAGTCATTCGAAAAATGATTCCATTCTTGTCCGTCAACTTGAACACGTTGGTAAATCCTGATATCGATCACAATTTCAACTGTTAGCGTGAAATTCCATTTGTTTATATTGTTCCATTAAACAGAATATTAAAGCGCAGTCTTCGACGATCAATTTGAATGGTCGCAAGTCGGAATCAGTGCACAGGAAGTCACCAAAACTTCGATTCATTCGTGACAAATTAAACGGAGTTATGAATGTGCAATGCCGGCTGCAGGTATTCAGGGGACAGGCTCACGTGGACGTGACAGCGGCCGTTCCCGTCATATTGATTTCTACAAGGCAAAAGCGAGTGTTTTCCCTATCCCCGTAATGTATAAGACAAGGACAGAAATACTGTGCGACAAGGCAGAGAGAGAATTCCCGGTGCCACCAACTTCAAAAAAGCATCTCATCAGTCCCTGGTACGTACGCGCGAAGCATCAGGATCAAGGAGGTATCCGACAAGGACAGACTTATGCGTTCTTTCGTGTAAGACAAGGACAGATATATAAGAACCACCATCTAGCGGTGGCAGCGCTGAACTACATGCGTTACGCAAATGGAGAAAAACAACGGTATCAGCAGCGAATTCATTAATAACTCGACTCCCGCGAATAACCCGTTAACATTTACAATTTGAAATCATAGAATAGACCATTCCCTACTTTCCTACATAATTTTCGATAGGATTTTATTCCAGGTTAATTATTTATTAATTATTTTTCGGAACGGTATCACCAAGGTAAGCAAGAGTTTTTTGACAGCGGCCTAATAAATTATAAAGTTTCTCACTTAATAGGCGTAACTGATGAACATCTGCGATTGAAGAAGTTAAAGCGGAACCTCAGAAATAATCTAGTGGCCGATTCAATCACATTTGAGTTGTAATTAATAAGCTATTAGCGATTTTCCGAACAGCTCATGGTAAGACAAGAACAAATCTATAGGTGCGAGGTAACGATAAATGATTGGTGGCGCCACCTAGTGCAAAAACGCCCAAGCTTATAATAAAAACAGTGCCTGTTGTCTCCGCTAGATGGCGCCACCAATCACTATCTATGGCGTGTTTCTTTATTTAATGTAATATTTATTTACAATGTTCACTAAATTGTAATGTTGAAATATTTTATTAACTAACTTCTATGACGGCTTATTTCTAAACTAATATTTGCAAAAAGCGTATTACGGGTATTAACAAAAGAATTTAAAATGTAAAATTAAACGATTTCTAACAACAACCGGTAATTGATTTTATCTACAAATGGAAACCAACATTACAGATACTTTGGCAACACCTGGTAAATTCTTCCGTCGGAAACATTTGGCTGCCAATTTCACTGTTTTGCCACGGATGACACCACAATCAATCTTTTGTTGCGTGTTTTTTTCATTCAATGTATTATTTATTTACAATATTCACTAAATTATAATGTTGAAATATTTTATCAACCAACTTCTATGACGGCATGCTTCCAAATGAATATTTGAAAAAATAATATCTAATAATATTTACTAAATTATTATTAAAGAATGAAAGAATATAGTACAAATTATACATTTTAAATTCTTTTGTCAATATCCGTGATATTCTTTTTGTAAATAGTGAATTTGAAATAAACCGTCATAGAAGTTGTTCGATAAAAATATTTCAATATTATTGATATTTTGAATAAAGGAACACGGCACAGGATAAGGCAAGGCGAGGCAAACAACACACGTATTCTGCTTTGCCGATCTACCAGGGGCGCAGGATTTTATTGATAGGTTATACATAGTTTAAACAATCTCGTAATATAGGTAAGATTTATATTTAATATAAAAATGTTATATGTATGTATTTAATATAAATAATACAATAATAATATAAAATATCTGTGTATTATGTTAATGCAAAATCACGTAATGTTTATTTATAAATGTATGAGCAAGTAAGTACACATATACATATATGTATACGTAATTAATTAATGGAATGATTAATGACTCATATTTTAATTCTGATTACGATCTAGTATTTGAATTTTGACATCAAAAGACATGCTAGTTGAGCAACGGAATTCTATGTTTAATATTTTTAGTTCTAATTACTATCACTTATTGCGCTGCCATGCAAGTCAGCCTTACTCGATATGACAGGGAGTAACATGAAAATGGTAAGGAGTATTTAGTACCCCCGAGTGCATATGGTCTCAACTGCCCCTTGAGTTGATATAGTGGAGGAACGCTGTTTTCGAGTTAATAGCGTGAGGGGATTAAATTAGACACCTCTGATAATTTTTCATAGATCAAGTTGAGAGGGTTCTGTTATTGTCATTTTCATTTTACTTTCAATATCACTCAAAGTATTAATAAATAGGAATGTATAAAGTAGTTTTGAAACATTTTTTTATTTAGTTATAAGAATTTCTATATTTATTTAATATTCAAATATTTACTAATGATACTTGTAAATAATGGTATTAAATAATACGTAATCCTATTACAGTAAAAAATATTCTTCTATTTTAATCCTTTTAATATACAAATTTCACTATATTTTTCATCGATCCGAAAATGTCCGACATCGAAGAACAATTTAAAGCGTATCAAAAGGATTCACGAATTTCTTGTCGATATGGAGCTAAATGTTATCAAAAAAACCCCGCTCATCACGAAAAATACAAACATCCTCCTTCCAAAAATGCAGTACGTCAAAACTATTTTCTTTAAGTATCTTACTTTAATATATGACAAACGTATTTCATTCAGCCTATATAATTTTAACCTAAATTTATATCTACCTTCTTTATGTTACTTGTTGATTACAATTTATTTCCATTGTTTTTATTTCTCTTATGCCATAACAATAAATATAAAAAAAATATTACAATATTCCTTTGCATTTATAGAAAAAACAAAGAGGTCCAATGCGTACAGTTATCAATAAAAAGAGGAAACAAAAGGACAATGCTGAATCGTCTACTGATTCTCCAAAGAAAAAAGTACAAAAAACAGATGATAATGTAACAGATGAAAATGCTTCACAAATTAGTAATATTAAAAATAAAGAAGAAAGCAAAGACCACGATGAAGCTATGAGCAATAAATCAAATTCTGACAATGAAAAATCTGTAAAAGATCCTATTGTCAAAGTTACTATTGCATCATTGTTGAAAGATTGTAATGTTACCATCGAAAATGATGAAATACTTCCAGCTGATGTACAGACGATCATTTCTCATTTATTTCTAATAGAAATGCCAACAGACTTCTTTCAATTATATGAGTTCTGTAAAAACATTTCTGAAAAAGATCCTTTAAATGCCTTTAAAGATGTTCAGTTGCAACTTGTGGGTCCTTATGATGTATATAGACAGACATTTTTAAATTCTAAAGTTGATAATAGAAAATCACTGCTGAGACATTGGAGATATTATTATGATCCACCAGAATTTCAAGTGAGAAACCTAAGTATTTTCTTTTGTGATCTAAATAACAATTGATAATAATATGAAACATTTTTCAGACTATTATTAAAGCTAATACCAAAGAGGGTTTGCATTTTGGTTACTGGAGGGATGACCCATCAGAAAAACCTGTATTTGTGGCAAAAAACAAAGCAAGTATAGATTGTGTAATTGAACCAGTTGCTGAGAATATATTTGGTACACTTCAGTAAGAAAATAATTAATTTTTAGACATTTTAATGTTCTCTATTTAAAGAATAATGATCAATAATAATACGTAATTTATATTTTAGTATTTATATAGGAGAGAAATTAAAAGCAGCTAATCCATTTGAAAAAATCCGCATAGCACAGTTACACCAAAAATTGAAAGACTATGCTAAAGAAAAGGATATAACATTGGATAAAAATACAAGTAATATGCGAGCTAGGGAAAAGAAGGTTGTTACAAGAACTTTCCATAAAGCTGGCATTGTAGTTCCATATGATAAGAAAACTGAACTGGGATACAGAGATTTAGCCGTAACAGACAGTAAGTTGTTATTGGAAAGCATTATGTTTGACTGCAGTATTATTGTTTAACTTTTCTTTTTTAATTCAGATGAATTAAGAAAACTATTGAAGCAGATAGAGGAAGCTGGTACACCAGAAGAAAAGAGAAAACCACTTTCAAAGCTTGAAGAAGTCATAAGACTGGCAACAATTGCAGCAGACGAATGCGATTTTGGCACCTGTTTAGAACTGGGCCATGATCTTTTTTGTAGTGGTGTTTCTTCTGTGCAAAACAAAGCGTTGCACATGCTTTCTCTGGCCTACAACCTTTTACAGAGGCCACAATTTTTGAAAATTGCTCAGGCACATTTGGAACTTAGAAGAAAGGATCAGGATCTGAATGTGCTTTATTAAAATAGAAATACTTTTAATACAACTGCTGTTCAATAAACATTTATTACTTTTAACTCCAGAATTTCTATAAAATTCTTCATTAAATGTTATTAATAAATTTCATTATATGAAATTATAAGTCATCTAAATATTTTACGAGAATTTACGCATCGTAAAATGTTATCTTTTTATCATTCATAGATCTAAGATTTGATTTGCAGAATTTTTTAAAAGGTTACTGTAGTTCTATGAACTGTACATGGCACATGTTACACGATGCTAAATCCTCGTAATGTATTACGGCAAACATGGCCTCAAGGTCTAGCGATGAATAGAACACGAGTGCGACGGACGAGGAGGAGGACATAGAGAAATTATTTAAGATGATTCGTACAGAGGTTTATATTACAGCCTCGTCGGAGGCTGAGAAGTGAACCTTCATCGTGGATTCTCCGAAAATGCCTTGACTTTGATCCACTGTTAAATAATCAGCGATCGCACGATAATGAAATTAAGCGGAAACTAAACGGAATCGCGGTGGTCGAAGGATATCGTTTTCTATGGTTTTATTTCTACACGGTCGACGCCGATCACTTACGCGTTCGCGATGGAAAGCAAAAGCTGCAACAATTTTATAAGTTACGTGGGCCTCGAGGAACACGAAATGCAGGTAATTGTCCGCTACTACTTCTCATGTAAACATTGAGACATAACCTCAATCTGATGCTTTTCTATGTTCCTTGATCTAACGATATTGCATTCTGCACAGCCACTGAGTTCTAGTCGACGTAATTCGCTATCGGAAAACAGTATTAAGTTACTTCCCGGCGAGATTCTGATCACCAGAGCGCAGAGTGTTCTAATGTTTTCGCCTGTCAGTGATCTGAAGCAAGGAACTTCTGGCAATCTATCAGTTACGAACTTTAAGCTCACTTTTATTACAACGGATGACACCAATGGAGATGTAAGTAAATTTGTAAAAGGTTTCCCTTTTGAAAGGTGAACAATTGAATTATAACGCAGGCAAGAGTACCTTTACAAAAAGGAAGTATAATTTTGCTCGCAGGACATGGTTCGTCAACAAAATCATCTTTATGGATACATGGATACTTGTTTAACGAATATCGAAGATATTTATATCACTGTAAATGATAAAAAAAGACGACTGGTACCCGGCAATACTGTACCATCTAAAGTAAAAGGGATATTTATCATCTGCAAAGTAAACATTTATTTGTCTGCTATACTGGTAACATAAATGTAATATTAAGAAGAGAATACAATATACAAGTTATTGTGAATTTCAGAATTTACGAACGTGGTCCTTTTCTTTTAAATTTTCACCTATTGGAGATGGGAAAAATCTCTTGACAGCATTGTTACACCATGCTTCTCCTAGCAGACACGATTTATTATTTGGTTACGATTACAGAGAAGCTTATTACAGTAGTCTCGATAAAGCTGTTCGCTTATTTCGAGACATATCGGATTGGCATAACGAATTAGAAAGAACCATAAGTAATGAAAAACTTAGAAAATTTTGGAGACTGTCTACCGTTAATGTAGATTTCAAGCTTTGTCGTAGGTAAATGCCATGTATAATAAAACCTGCATTAACGATTTAAATAAAATATAAATTACTAATTCATTTATAGTTTGTCACGATACATAATTGTACCAGCATCCATTACTGATAATCAACTGATGGATGCAGCTAAACACTTTCAAGGCAACCGTCCACCGATTTGGTCTTGGTCCAGTATACACGGTGCAGCATTAGTAAAAATGTCTGAGCTCTCACCGTTGATTACCAATAGGATGCAAGAAAATATTTTGTTTGAGAATGTTCGCAAGAGTCATCCTCAAAAAATGGCACCAACTGTTTTAGAATTGAACAAGGAAATTAGCACAAAGTTGATAGCTATAGCTTTCTCTAAATTTGCTAATCTTTGTTCCCCAGGTAAATATTTTTTATCACTTACTTTTCTGGACTATAAATGTTTTGTATTTTAATGGATCCCTTCTTTTTTCAGAAAACATCAGGCAGTTTTGGCTGCAGGATAATAATTTTTATACATTAGTAGAGAATACAAAGTGGTTAAAGTATATATCTTATTGTATGCAAAAAGCTGTTGAAGCCTGTGAGCAGCTCCATTTAGGATTTTCTGTTATTTTACAAGGTGAGCGTCTCATGTTATTATTATCTGTTATCCTCATTTTAAAACGGCGGATTTTCAGAAGGTGCTGGCACAGATATTTGTTGCATTATATCGAGCTTAGTTCAATTGCTACTGGACCCTTATTTTCGTACCATAAACGGGTTTCAGTCACTCTTGCAGAAGGAGTGGGTTGCCGGTGGGCATCCATTTTGTGATAGATTAGGTCATATTGCCAAGAGGAAGTCTGAGAAGGTATAGACTAAAACAATTTCTTTATACATGATTATGTAAAAACACTTCTATTTCAACAGTCTCCAGTATTCCTTTTATACCTTGACTGTGTTTGGCAACTGAGTCAACAATTTCCCGCGGAATTCGAGTTCACGGAAACGTACCTGACAACATTATGGGACGCTGCTCATATTTCAATCTTTGATACGTTTATTTTTAATTGTGAGAAAGATCGGATGATGGCAGCTACGGTAAACTTCTCAAAATGCTACATTAGTTTGCTACATTAGTAGACGTAGATAATAAAAACAAGTTACTTTCAGGACCCAAATAAACCTCTGGTTCTTCGGAGTGTCTGGGATTGGAGGGAACAGTTTAGCGAACAAGACATATTGTTATTTTACAACCCTCTATATACCTCTCGTGACTCAAATATAACTGAAAAAAGCATAATAAAGCCCCAGTACAATGTAGTAAGCATTGAGTTGTGGGCTCAGTGTTACTTTCGATGGATACCACCTTTAGAGATCCGCAATGGCGGGCAAAATCACATAGAGCTTTACGCAAGATTACTAAGGAATAATGTGAATCAGTTGAAGATGAGCATAAACGGAAATTGCGATTCACCTATCGCAAAGACGAACAGCTATTCCGTTCAAATGAATATCGACAGCTTTTATCCGTTTTCAAATAAAAAAACTGGAAATACAGTGAGCACTCCCATAATAAATAGCTCGATGTTAGCTACGGAGAGCTTACTGGACGCGCAGTCTTTAATAACTGCATGCGACTGATGTACATATCGCGACAATATTTGTTCGAGATCCGTGGGCTATGTAGAGAAAGATGTTTCAGAGTGTTAGGAAGTAATCGTTAAGTCCTTCCGGTGCCAATTTTATACTAGCATTTGCCTGTAACTGCCGGCCATTTTGTTTCCGTGTATTTATACTGTAAATACGTATTGAATTCTGGCGTATAATCTTGTAACGATCCAGTGAGTCTTATAAATTATTACTGTCTTTCCATGCTTGGCTTTAGTTTTCCTCGATTTGGCGCTGGAAAGGTCAGAAGCATCTTAAGATAAGAATGCGAAGTTTCTTTTTTTACATGTTACGTTGTAAAATAGCTGAATTAAGGAGAACCGATATTTAATAACATGCTAATGTTATAAATTAAATAACAATAAAACTATTTTTTGTAGAAAATCGATACATTCGTCTATTTCCTTCCCAAAAATCATGTTTGATCAGAGAAAGAGAGAAATACATGATGGAGTAAGACAGAAAGAGGGACCAGAGAGTCAATAAAAGCCGCGCTGGCAACACCAGATAACCGCTCAGCTTTTTGAATGTGTCAAATGATGTCTGATGAAATATAATTCGAACAATGAGTGTTACAAAGTCTAAAAATATTTTTAAATTGAAGAACGCGAGAAAAAGTGATAATACGCCGGTGAAATGGAACCCGAACAAAGTTCTTTTACAAGTTTTCATTCTTGTCACATGTCTCAAAATACTTTTAATTCCATTATAGTAAGTTTTTCCATATATACTGAAAATATGACATTTTCCTAAGCAATTTGAGGTTATATATAATTGTAATTATATTTTCCATAATTCATTTTATTTTCAGTCGTTCCACAGATTTTGAAGTACATCGTAACTGGCTGGCTATAACGCACAGTTTACCAATTCAAGAATGGTATACTAATACTAGGTCACAATGGACGTTAGATTATCCACCACTCTTTGCGTGGTTTGAATACTTTCTTAGTCATATAGCGAAACTAATTGATCCTGAGATGCTTAAACTGGAAAACCTCAATTATGCATCTTCTGGTACTATCTGCTTCCAAAGAGGTTCTGTTATATTCTTGGACCTGTTATTTGCTTATGGAGTGAGAGAGTATGTTTTCAAAACTATGTAAATAATAGATAATTATTTAATGAATGTTTCAATATATTATTATTCATATTTTAGAATTGGGAAAGTATTTTGCTCATCCTTCGATAGTTACGTTATTTTTGTAATTTTATCATTGTGCAACATGGGATTGCTAATAGTGGATCATATACATTTCCAATATAATGGATTCCTACTTGGTATTTTACTACTAGCTATTGCGAATGTATCAAAAATAAATAACCAGGTACATATAACAATATTACTTCATGTTTATATTAAAACTAAAAAGAAAACTGTGTTTCAGATCTCGAATTTACAAGGAACATTATGGTTCGCTTTATTATTAAATTTAAAACACATTTATTTATACGTTGCTCCAGCCTTTATAATTTGGCTGTTGAAATCATATTGCATAAATAGTAATCACTTATTTAAGCGTTTATGTGCACTCGCGAGCATAGTTTTAACTACTTTAATGATTTCATTTGGACCATTCGCATCTCAATTACCTCAGGTAAAATAATAAAATACTACTCATCTGTTTCTACAATTAATTATGATTCTTTTAGGTATTATCAAGATTGTTCCCATTTAAGAGAGGTCTGGTACACGCATATTGGGCCGCAAACGCATGGGCTTTGTATATAGGCTTAGATAAAGTAGCAGCACTTATTTTAAGAAAATTAGGTTGGATAAAAACTATGAAGACAGCAGTAATGACTGGTGGTTTGGTACAGGAGCAATCATTAATTGTATTACCAACACCAACTCCATTTGTAACAATGTTACTAACATTTATTTCAATATTGGTAAGTCTAACACGTTCGCGACCAGCATTTGCTTCACCCGCAATCTCCATTACTACAATATTTTATTAAATGCAACAAATTGTCTTCATACAATGAAAATAAAATTCAAGAAAAATGTCTCGTCAATTTCTTGCACGTTACACTGTGAATTATGATTTTAGACAAAAACACATGTAGAAGTAATTTAATGTCTTTTACGCAATATATAAAATATTGAGTGTTAATAGTATGTGACACTTGTCGCGAACGTGTTAAGAAATGTAACCGTTAGCTAGTATTAGAATTTAATAATAGTAATGTAAATTACAGCCGTCTTTGTACTACCTGTTTTTTAAAAGAGACTGTGACAAAAATCCAAAACAATTCGTACGTTGTCTAGTGCTTTGCGCCTTATCGTCATTCATGTTTGGCTGGCATGTACATGAAAAAGCTATTTTAACTGCCATCATTCCACTATGGTAAAGTAAAAAATTATTATATTCTAGAAACAGTGATAATTCTTAACTAATTTTTATATATATTTCAGTGTTCTGGCTGTAACGGACAAAACCGATGCTAGAATATTTTTAATTTTGAGCAGTGCTGGACACACTTCTCTTCTGCCACTACTTCATCCAAACAATTTAACTCCATTAAAATTATTAGTACTTTTAACGTATACGGTTGCGTCATTTTTAGCTATGTCGCGAAAGTTCAAGCAACGTTTGCTTTATTATCATGAAACGATGTACGTTGTTTTACTGCCATTCTTAACAGTATACGAAAGCATATTGCATAAAATAATATTTGGCAATAAATTACCGTTCTTGCCCCAAGCAATCACTTCAATATATTGTGCGGTAGGAGTGAGTTATTGTTGGGTACTTTATTATTATATATTCTTGCGGTATAACGAAAATATTAATGACCAAAGAAAGAAAAAGGAATAACAACGTTCATATTCTATATTTAAAATCGTACGGAAAGAAAAATAAATGTATTTATATTTTAATACTTTTGCAATTTTGTTATTTTAACACATATTTCTTCCGCTTCGTGATTCTTTATATGAAATAATTTAAACTGATATTTACCACAGACGAGATATCCTCATTTTATCACTTTTAAAAAAAAATTTTAATAATAATATAATATTAAATTACGAATTATAATAATAGTATGATATTAAATTAATAATTGTAATATTTTATTATTTTAATAATATTACAATACTAATCAATGAATTATTAAAATTGAAGTGTTAGCAGCTACATAATAATTAAAAAGTAATAGCAATAAAAAATGTATAAACAATGAAAAAATATTGTATCAAAGTATATTTGAAGAAAATAGAGCTTCAAACTTCGTACGCTGATCTGTGTTCATTAAACGTTCAGATGGTAATTTCTTGTTATGACAAACCAAACGAGATGTCGTAACTCAAGGATGTCGAAATCGGTGCTTGCAGGCACTCTAGTAACACTCTCCTCACGAAAAGGTATATACGCATTTTAAGCTGCGTTCAATATTTTTAATTCTAATTCCTATCACTTATAGCGTTGTCATGCAAAACCAACCTTAGTCGGTATGACAGGGCGTGACATGAAAATGGTAAAGAGCGTGTGACAAAATTTTACATTGTATGTTATGTCTACCGCGTGAGGGGAGTAAGTTAGCATCTCTGCCGTAAGATTGACCGAATGCCATAAACATGGCGGCTTGGATACCAAAAATTGCGGTACGAGCAACGAGTAAGTTTATTTATTCAGCTTGTTTGTTATCTGTTCTGGTATATTTTTGTCATTGGTAAACCATCATGTGTTTCGTTTAAATTGTTATTTTCCATTGTCAATCCAATACTCTTTGTTAAAAATACATCGTAATTATATAACTATAATGACGGTTTGCATTGTGTGGTGCAGAGAATCAGTATGCGTACGCTGCGACCCAAACGATACAATGTCGCGATTGTACCAATCAGCCAAGGATCATCAAAAATCCAACTACAGCCAGCTTAAAAAGAGGTACTGGTGGTCGTAGTTCTTTTAATGGAGTAGTGTGTACAGTGTTCGGTGCTAGTGGTTTCATTGGACGGACTGTGTGCAACCGTCTTGGGAAGATTGGTACGCAGGCAAGTTACTTGCTCTATTTCAGAATAGTTCTTATGTTTTAAAGGACACATTAGATTTTGATATTCCATAAAGGAGAGTTGCTTAAATTAATGAATCTCTTCTTGCAGTTAATAATTCCACACAGATGTGATCCGTACTATGTTCTGCCTCTCAAACTATGCGGAGACCTGGGACAAGTTTTGTTTCACCCTTTCCATTTAAAAGATGAGGATTCTATAATTAAGTCCATCAAATATTCCAATGTGGTGATTAATTTAATTGGAAGCAATTTTGAAACCAGAAACTTTAGTTATCATGATGTGCATGTGGAAGGAGCTAGAACGATTGCTAAATTGGCTAGAGAATGTGGCGTAGAACGTTTAATTCATGTGTCATCTTTGAATGTAGATCCTAAACCTGAAGTGAGTTATGGAATTGATATTCGTAGCAACAAGGGTAATAAAGTTTAGTTTGGAAATCTTAGTCTTTTTTAATTCTTAGCCGAGGGTATTGAGTGGTGGTTCACAAATCCTCAAGACGAAATGGCATGGAGAGTGCGCGGTAAAGAAAGAATTTCCAAACGCTACTATTGTTCGACCAGCAGAAGTATATGGTCAGAAAGATTGGTTTCTCACTCATTACATGAGTCCATTGAGGAGATTTATTAAGTAATATATTAAATTATAAGCATGCATTTATCACTGTATCATGTCTATTGATTTAATGATGTTTAGTGATACTGTACCACTATGGGAGAAGGGTCTGAAAACTGAGAAGCAGCCGGTGCATTGTTCAGATGTAGGCGCTGGCATTGTTGCGCTTGTAAGAGATCCTAGTACTGCTGGTAAAACTTACCAGTTTGTTGGGTAAGTAGAATTTATGCTGCAACGTAAGTATCGATAACAGTACCCTTTTAAATGATTCTAACGATTCTGTTATACAATGTAAAAATGATTTCCTTGTAGCCCAAAAAGATACACACTACATGAAATTGTGAAGTGGTTGTACATACTAGCCGCAAGAGGAGTGGTAGACGCAGCACATCAAGTATCGGATATGAAATATAATTTTTTGTTTCAAACACAAGTTTCTCTGAACGACCTTATCTACAATATCTATCCAGAGATGCCTGTAACTTGGGAATTAATTGAAAAAGTGAGTCTACACTTCAGATCTATGCAGTAAAATAAATAATAATTACTATTGTATTGATACGAAGGATAAAATAAATAACATTTTATTCATCTTTTACAGTATCATGCCACTGATGTAGTATACCCGGATTTACCTACGTTAGAGGACTTGGGCATTACACCGGTAGATATGGAATCCAGGATGGCTTGGGAGATTGTCCCATACAGGTTTCATAACGAGTACATGGAAACCGTGGGGGAATTTTCAAAAGCACCTCCACCAAAGACAGTTCCCCTACATTAATATTTGCGTATGATTAAATAAGACTAGTATAAAAATGATGTGTGCTCTTCTTGTAATAAAAAGGGTGCATTGTTACAGATTTCATTTTTTTTTTCTTCATACTTTAATATTTACTTGCTCTTTTGAATGATACACGTAACTCGCTCTTTATTGTTTATTAAATGACAGACTGTTCTAACTACAATAAAAGGTTACAGTTTCTAATTATTGTTTTTTGTTATACGTTACGTGTTAGATGTTGGTAAAAAATATAAGCTAGTTTGGTCCTCGGTTACTATGCTGACCGAAGGCCACGCAGATTTTACATTATAAATGACAAGGGGAAAAACATTTCCCTTTTATCCCTATTCTTTCCATAATTAAAAGTGTAGTGTTCGTTTACCCCACTTCAAACGATCGATCTCCAAAGAAATAACAACGAGACGTTCCACAAATGTAATTCTAGCCCAGTGATACGAATACTTGAAAGCTTTGGAGCAAAAATTTAGAAAGTTATTGAATACTGCCCGCAAAACGTTTAGGTGTGTACAATATCGGGGAGAAGTTATGTTGTAAATTTAGGTCGAAAAATGAATTGTAGCAGGAGTATGAAAATATTTTAAACGAAGACAATAATTGTTCCCGGAATCCAAGCTACTGCTTATGATTCGCAAAGAAATTCTCTAAAGTACCTACTAGACCTAGGGTACACCGGTACGTGTCACAAATTTGACTATACGAAAGTGATTTGTTTATGCAAGGAAGACTACGCGCACGTAGAACAACCTTAGGATGAATTAACTCCCAGATAACAAATTTCTATAAATAGAATAGATAACAAAAATCAATAGTTTAGAATAATGTAACGAAATAGAGATTGATTCTTCTAATTATATTTATAGCGAGGTGAATATATAAGATGCAAATGTCTTAATTTATTGGACTATAATTGTAGAAAGAAGTGCCATGGTTTTATAATTTAATTAATTCTTTATAGCAAGAAGTTAACTCTTCCTAAGATCAAGCATAAGTCACCGCTATTTGTCCGCTCCAAATTCCGCGAATTTCAATCCTTTAACGAAGGATCTTTATAAGTTTAACTTATTTAATCCTTAATTCCTATATACTTTCATCATCGACGAGATTTATTTGCTCGAATCTTGTGGTCAACCCTTTGTTTTATGCATTGCAATACAAATGGAGATATTTCACTCATCTATATATGGTAACGCGTATAAAACTAAAGAATTTAATAAATATTTATAAAAATAAATATATTCTACAAGTATTAAAATGAAATGTCTTTAAAGAGTAGAATTAGTTTCATAATTATTTAAATGGAAAGAGAGGAACGAACAAAACAAAGGGTTAACGTTATATGAGGTGGCAAACGTGAGCTGATCACTCACTTGCAATCACCTCTAATTTACAGAATAAATCCAAAATGGATGCAGTTTGGCTGATCCAGTTATACAGATCAGTTTAAAGCTCATAGTCGCATGCTTAAAATTGTGCGAGTTACAATAATTGATTACAGTGAATGTCTGAAAGAGTTCTTGATAATTGTTTTATAAAGCAGAAATACAATAACAATAATTCATGTAAAGTTTACTTCTTCAAATCATCGGATGAACAAGATTAGTGAATCGTTATTTAAACAATACAATTCCGTGATCAACTGTTCGCACAGTCACTGTTTTTTTCGTTTTACGTGAAACAAAATATCAATTTGCACATTCGTATCATGCAAAATTATTTGTTCTATATAGAATAATTTAACCGTAACAGCTCATATTAAATTGATCTATGTAAAACTTTCTTATACTTTCAAAAATTGCCTAAATGGAAAATACTTAAATTAGATAATTGGAAATAGTTCCCTCGAGTACAAAGACCGTTCATAATTCACAAAAATCGAAATCTGTACAAACGAACGACAATTTTGTAAAGTTACTTTTGGCAACTGAGAACTAAGTCTCAACAATACGTTGTAAGTAAAATTGTAGAATTGATTCAGACTCATTGGAAGAGATTCATTGAGAACAAAAGAACAAAGAAGAGAGTGGTCGGCAATGTGAAGATCCCGACGACACCCGAGCCCAGGTTATCTTGCATAACGTTATCATGGCACCTGGCGATCAGGTCGAAATCCACGAAATTCATTGGTTTCCCATTGTACTCGATCGGTGAAATACAGTAGTTCTTTTTTTGGAACTCGGTAGCAGTGCCATTCACAAAATCACTCTCAAGCACGTTATGGGCTTGACAATCGCAAGGGAAGTGATTGTCGATGGCGCTGATCGAGTTCACTTCAAGGTTGATATCTTTAGAGTGGCGCGGTGCCTCCAGCACGTGATTCCCGTGAAATCGAAATAAATTAATGTTATTCTCATATCTCAAGAACAGTCTTTCGATCAGATCAATTTTGTTTTTCAGTATATTCAGTTGACCGACATAAGTTAGGCCGGTGAAGGCGTCTTTCTCGACGATCCCCAAGTCGCTTTCGTGTATGTTCAACGAATGGACATAAGAAAGACCGCGAAAGGTGTACGATTGAAGAGAAGACAAGTCCATGTAAGTTAGCTTGAGCATATTAACATTCTGAAGACCGTCGAACGCATCCTTCTCGATAATCCGAATACCCGCTGGAAAACTCAAATAGACCACGTTCGTCAAGCCTGAGAACGCGTGGCTTTGGATCCTCAGTAACGGGTTGTTGCTCAACAGAATTGCTCCTATGTTCGACGTCCCTGCGAACGAGTAGCCCTCTATGTACCGAATTTTATTATTTGCCAATATCAATACCGATACGTTCTGCAGGGCAGCAAACGAGAACTCCTGTATGTACGGCAGAGGTGTATACTGAATGGAGAGTTTGCGTAGCTTGTTCAGACCCCGAAATGCGAATGGCTTTATCGTCGAGATATTGTTACCATCCATGGTCAGGTTTTGCAGAACCTTCAAACCGGCAAATGCATCGCCTTTTATTATTGGGAAGTTGTTTTTCGTTAAGGAGAGCTCTTCCACCGTTGGAGGCAGCTGCTTGGTGGGAATATCTGTTAACCCACCCGTATTGCAGAGTACCTGAAATATTGAATAACGTTGAAACGTTTTACATGTAACAAACTGAATCGGTAATATATGAATGTATTAATTAATATATATTTATTAACCCCTTGCCTCACTATTTAGTTCCACAGTAGCACTTGTTAAAATTGATTGTTTAATGATTTATTATAAAAACAAAACGTTCTCTGCTCTTTCTGTTTATAAGTTTACTCTAAACCATTCAAATTAACAACGAACAATATAATATTCTGTTTGAACTTAAAGAAATCAAATGATATTTACATTTGTTTAACTATATTTGAAATCTTTGCCACGAGTTTGAGGCGATATTATAAGGCAAGGAGTTAATTAGATAAATATAAAATTAGATAATATATTATTAGTAATATATAATATGTTTTTTTTCTAGTGATAGCTCGTTATCTTGACGAGATTTAAAAATAAAACAAGAAGGTAGAGCAGTGGTCCCTAAATGTCTATAGGCCGAAACACGTTTCTGAGAACAATACATTTCTGTGTCTCATTTGTTTATAAAACTTGCTACAATTAATTTAACGAATTTGGAATACATACATTCGATATATAATGCGTCACGACTCACATTCTGGGAACTTCTAGTGTAGAGATCATGTGTAAATCATAGAAAGTAACTAAATAGGTTTTTAATTACCAATGGATTAACTTTTGTAACTGATGTACCTATGTAAGTGTAACTCCCCTGAATTAGTTGTGTGTATGTTAAATCTTCTACTGTGTAAGGTTAGTATAATCATTATGTGTCCAACTGATTTTGTGTAATCTTGATATCCATGAGAGGTGGGATGTGAAAGATGGGTTTGAATTGATGTATGCTGCTGTGTATTATTTGTCCACATTTTTGTCTAGTCCTTGAAGATTGTGCTGTAATATGCAGACGAGGAATACTTGTAGTACGAAATTGTCGATGTGTTGTTAATTTTAATACAAAACATACAACTAAAAGAGGTTTTCATAAATTTATGAAAATATATAAAGTTTGCAAATTTAACATTAATAAAATAGATATTTTTGGGTGTCCTTAATAGAATTCTCGAGTTTTTTATTAGCAATGAATTATTGGAACTGATAAATACCTGTTTTGGAGAAAGACAAATACATTCTGCAGGGCAGTCCCAACTTTGTACAGTAGTAATTTCTTGTTGTAGGGTAAATTTTAGACTCAGTGTCACTGTCCACAGCAGGTAATAAATGCAGATCTACAATTCAAAAGAGAGAAATAATGTTATTAATATATTTTATTAATCGTATTTGTAATTGTAATTTCCAAGATTATAGTATCTCTATTTACTCTTGACACAAGATCAAATAATTTTGACATATTAATAAACAGCTTAGAAATTATACAAATTATTCACATTCCATTCAACTGTCAATTATCATGTTTCATTGTCCGCCGAAAAATTAGTTGTATCGATTACACGTTCACGAAGGAATGTTCGGTATTAAAAAGTCAATTTGGGATGATATTAGTTGACCTGATAATTCCAGAAGTTATATCTATTTCGGGGACCAGTATAAAAAGTCGATAGGTGCTTACTCGCAAATTAATTTTCAAATAAAATTCATTAGGAACTCAACATATCAACATATGTGCTAATTTAAATTATGATATATAATGCAAGAAGAACTGTTTTAGAATTCTAAAATAACTTATAACAATATTTAAACAATTGACAATGCATTCATCAATCACATGTGAAAATATGATATGTTCATTTACAAAAAATCAACTGCTGGAACTGTTTACCTAAGTCACTATAGCAAAGGATATTAATAAACATATCACTTTAACCAAGCAATATGAAATACGTACACAGAATTACTACATACTTAAAAATTCCACATAAACTAAGTAATAAATACTTCTTAACACGTTGACTATCACGAGAATTGTTGTCGTTCTGTATAATATTTATTCTATCATAACAGAGACATATGTGATTAGAAATAATTATTAACGATTTGGTATTATTGTATTCGCGTTACACCATTATCTAGCAACTTATGTTAGTAAATATTTTTGTTCGACATCAATTTTCTTATTGCAATTGTTTTCAAGCAATTCGGGAGCTCCGGTAATCGGTAACCACCGTGGCGGTCAACGTGTTAACACTTAAACTACCGTACCCGGCAAAATGACAAGCTTTAGTTCTCTTATTTTGCAATTATTAATATTTTAAAAGTATTTAATATCCAAAATGATTTTGAAATGAAATAGCTTCACCTAAATACTATAACGAATATCTGAAGAAACCATAAAAGAATATATTATTACAATGTTTATAAGGATTACATATCAACCCTAATAAATACTGTGTAGTTCTAGCGTTAATGTCGTTCCTCTAAAGGTTCAGATTACTTGAAAATTTCATAAAAGTAAAAGGGACCAATGCAAGGGCAAGATAACAATCCAAATTCGACTTATCAGTATCATCAAATAAGATCAAGATCTCCTAAAGACATGTACTCGGAATGAACGGAAGCTGTACGAACAGGAAGCTTGAATCGGCGCGTTCGAAAGAAGAGGAATGACAAAAGCGTTTCCCGGCATGCAAATGGATGCATCAAAGTGACGGTAACGTTGCACACACGCGAAACGATCTGATTTGTACCTGCGCTCTGCAATACATCAATCCCGAAGTTTTTAGGGCGCATGCCTCAGCATCCAGGAAAACGTCACGAGCGGCTGCTGATGTTCCAGCGTGTCTGGAAAAATGGACAGCTTACAGGAAAAATTCTGTTCTACCCGGCCTCGTCGAAGACACCGTCGATTATCCATAGTTCTTTTCTATTCCCACAATGTGATCACCGACGTACCAAAGCTTACCGAAACAGTAAGGCAAATTGCTCGCGTTCAGACGGGGTGTTCCTTGACTTCCGGAAGAACTAAACAAGCCGAGAGAAATTTTGCTATCCGTGACCGCATTCACCGGCTGGGCTCGGGGCTTTATTTCTCCTTAGCCACCCACCCTCCACCCCCGACGAGCGATCTGCGCAAGCCCATAATTATTCTCTCGGTGCGCGTAGCCTGGAATGAGACTTATTAGAGGGACTGAACTATAGAACAGAGGATGACCAGACCGAAGCGTACTGACCTGGGATAATGCGCCACAGTCTGTGGGATTTGATCGCCAACGGTTGGTCGTTGACCATGCTGATACGACTCCATGCTTCTTTCTCTCTCTCCCCTACCATCATGCCTCCATCTTTGTCCATTCTTCCTCTTTTTCCGAGGGGCGACAGAAAAACCTCTGAGAACGATGCAATTTACCGATTAGAACCAAGGGGAGGGCGAACGGCAGGGACTTTGGATTGGAATGAATTGAAAATATTTTACAATTGAATGGTTATTTTTCAAATTATTGCAATACTCTTGGAAAGTCGCTTGGGGGTTGGTATAATTTCGAAATTGTAACCGGCAGTCGAAAGTAGTCGAAATGGAACCGAATTTGGAAGTTTGAAAATATACTTACGATAGATTTAAGTGGTTTTTAAATGGAACTTGGGGATGGTCGAACTGAAACATAAATTTTGTTTTTTTTTAAGGCAGGGGAAAGGATGATTAAAAAAATAAGTAATAAACAATCAGTACTAATAGAAGATTAGTATAATTAAAACGCAAAAATTGCAAATAATTTTCCCCATTTAGGAGGTGAATTTGTCATTTAATTAACAATATTCATATTTCATTAGAACAAATTATAACGCGGTTTGTTATTATCTTCATTGAATTTGTTCATAAAATTTCTACATTAGTGTTTCTAATTGGAGAATGGTCTAAATAATCAAAACTCTTAATAGTTTTGATAAAAATATTACTTATTAATTATTTGTAATAAAATATTAATTGTTCAATCTTTAATTTTTGAAAAAAAGAAATTATAATGATTCTACCTTCAATTTTGATACCTAATTTCCCTCGTTATCACTGGAACTTGATTTTAGAGTAAGTATATAATATAAAATTGGTTCTATGCTTCCTTTTTCTCCACATGTACGGCCGCCTATTCCCGTGGCCTAATTGAAATTCTTGCCTGCAGCAATATTGGCTTACCAGCACTGACATCGTAGTGATCAAACGGAAACGGATCAAATAAATACAGAAGCTTGGTTTTTCTATTTCGGCGAATACCGCGCTTGTACTAAAATAATAAAATAAAATCATTAACATTATTATTTGGGGGTAAGTTTTTGCCGCGCAAATTCTGTGGCGGTAAAAGGATCTTCATTACCGACAGAGAATGCTATAAAATATATCATTTTCATAATATGAAATTTGCTGTTATAAACATTTATTCGCATCGTTAAAGTCCAGCTTAACAAACAGAGATGTAATTATTTCATAGGTAAAATAGTTACATTATGTATAGTGTAGCATTATAATTTATATTAAATAAACTGTTTTACATCACGTTTTACTTACTTCAATGATGGACTTTATTAAAATGATAATCTGTTGACAACGAAATGTTCAATTTATAAAATTGATAATCTACATAGTGTATGGCAGACCGTCGTAATTTGTAAATGTAGACTGACATCTAGCGTGCATCACCTGATTTATATTTTCATCGATCGATAAAGCTATCGATCCAACTGTTACAAATATAAGAGAGGTTAGAAAATTTAATTATACATTCATATTATTTTTAACCTACCAAATCAATTAGGATATGAAAAATCAAATGTTACGTTACCTCGGTCCATGCAAATGAAAAAAAATATAAAATTTTGATAAACGTTCGCAGCACTGATAGAAAATGAAATTACAGTAGCATGCTCTATAATCATATGGCGACTGAGCTGCGACTAATATTTTCTCAAGCTTGGTCAGACGACCCTTGGCGAGGTTCAACGAACCGGAAACCAAAACAGAACTTAAGCCACGATATTTATATTCCGGTGTTCGTAGCAAACGAATGACTATGTTTTTATACTGAAACCCGTCGGTAAAATAATTCAGCGGACAATCCGCTTTTCATGATAATTCCTTATTTTTATAATATGTTCTTGTAATATATTAATTTATTAATATATATTATAATATATATTACGATATATATAATATTGTCTTCATTTTTTTAAATATTATATAATAATTTCTGGATATTTATTCGGCAATAAATAATAGGCACAAGTTGCATAGGATTTCTAGAGATAATATATTTTATAACAAACTTGTACAATTCTAGCAACATATGTCCAGACAATGGAAACGGGTAATAATACCTGTAATATTTTTTTAATGGTGGTTAAGTGTAAAACGTAGTAACGTACGATTAATTAAAAGTGCGATTTCGTGTGTGTGTATACTCGTGTACGGTCGTATGTGCAAATTCCCAGCATAGGAAAAATCAGTCTTAAAAAATAATACAATGCTAAGTATACGTACAAATAAAAGGCAATTGTTTTTCTCTCTCGCACTCTC